CTTGCTCTACGGTAGTCAGTCGTAAGAAACAACAATTACTATAAATTGGATTATTTTCTAGAAGATTGTTCTTGCTCTACGGTAGTCAGTCGTAAGAAACAACAATTACTATAATTTGGAGTATTTTCTAGAAGATTGTTCTTGCTCTACCGTAGTCAGTCGTAAGAAACAACAATTACTATAAATTGGAGTATTTTCTAGAAGATTGTTCTTGCTCTACCGTAGTCAGTCGTAAGAAACAACAATTACTATAATTTGGAGTATTTTCTAGAAGATTGTTCTTGCTCTACCGTAGTCAGTCGTAAGAACAAACAACAATTACTATAAATTGGAGTATTTTCTAGAAGATTCTTACGACTGACTACGGTAGAGCAAGAACAATCTTCTAGAAAATACTCCAAATTATAGTAATTGTTGTTTTCTTAGTTCAAAGCTACACAATGGATTACATGTATTCTAACTACCGTAATATTTACAGTCTTTTGATAATTAGCAGGCAAATCATTTGTTAGTTACCAAATACAAATCCTCTTAGAATCAGCAGGCAAATCATTTGTTAGTTACCAAATACAAATCCTCTTAGAATCAGCAGGCAAATCATTTGTTAGTTACCAAATACAAATCCTCTAAGAATTAGCAGACAGATCATATAATAATTACCGAGCAAAATCCTATAACGTATTAGAAAAAATAGTTTTTTGGTAATTAGAAAACAAATTATCTGACAATTAACAAGTCCGCTGGCAATTAGTAAATATATTCGCTTAGTTCATTAGCAAGTAATATCATTTGAGAATTAATGAAAAAAAATGACCTAATACCTAGCAAGTAAATGTGAATAATACTAACGTCTAATCAAAACGTACAGAGAAGAGAATTAATATTATATACCTGGTGATATACCTAACTAACCAAACATAATGCTCAAACTGTATTACTTATAGTGATTAACATACATAGTTTCAGCAAGAAGTAGCAAGTAAAAACGTCCGATAATTAGAAAATAAAATTATTTAACAATTAGCAGCGAAGTATGTGTTTGTTTGTATTTAGGCACAAAGCTACGCAATGGGCTATCTGTGCTCTGCCCACCACGGGTATGGAAACCCGGTTTCTAGAGTTGTAAGTCGGCAGACTTTCCGCTATGCCGCTGGATGGGGGTGGGGGAGGGCGCTACGGTCAACTATCTGACAGTTACATAATATTCTGACAATAAACAGGTAAAAACTTTCGACAATTAACAAGTAAAATTCTCTGCCCATAATTATGGGAATTACACAAAAAACCATATGGTTGTTATCAAATACGACTTTTGTCAAAATAACTAATAATTATCTTAAAATTAATAAGTAAATATCTTTAAAATATTGTCAATTAATATGTATCTGGTAAACTCTAAATCCAGGCGCCGATCGGAAGGTCCAAAGTTAGAACCGAGATATGTTAATAAAAACACAAAGCATTATTAGCTATGTGGGCGTGACATCCATGACAATTAATTCTGCTATTCGGTTAAGAGCAGCCGCATAGTCGGCGAGCGCTGCTGATTGGTCAGCAGCTCTAAATTAGGAATGGCTAAGCCTAAATCTTATAGAGGACTCTGATATAGTCGTTCAATCTATGTATTGCAGGTTAATTAAAAACATTAAATACCAGAACAACTCGTTAACATGCGCAGTTGTGGGCACAGGTTTATTTATTTATTTAAAAGTACATTAATTATTTCTGAACTCACAAATTTTGATCATCTTTAACCTAGGTTAGACTTAAAGCTCGCCTGCTGAACCGCCCAGGATATAAGATCAATTGTGGAGCAACACTCATAAGCGCGCGCCACCTGGTGACGGCTGCTCACTGCGTGAGGTAGGTGTTTATATCTCAGATAATTTGTCCTGCAACAACAGCTCCATTGTTTCATGTCATGACCTATAAGATGAATTAACTCAAACAACAATAACGAAACATTTTGTTCCCAAACTCTGACTCGGGTGAACTATAACACAAATAATATATAAACACAAAACTTTGATGTGTTTTCTAACAACACAAACTATGTGCGGCTTTCAGTTTAAAATTGTGTTCAGTTAAGCACATTCCGTGTGGTGTTGTCAAACTTTTTATTTCGTGTGTGTAAATTATATAAAGTTCACAGAAAAGATTGCACATAAACCAACACGTTTGTTTTCAGTTTTGCTAGTCAAAAATGATGTTGTTGTTCTCTACTTGAATTTGTGGTGTAGCCACAATTCGTGATGTTTTTAACAGTACATAACAACAAGAATGAAACAAAGCTTTAGTGTTAGAGATACCACTAGTACTGAACACAGACTAAGGCAATAACTTTGTACAATGAACTGTCCTGAACATTTCCACCTGTACAGATAGGTAACACTCATATTTATACTGAACATTTACACCTGTACAGATAGGTAACATTCACATTTATACTGAACATCTACACCTGTACAGATAGGTAACACTCACATTTAAACTGAACATTTTCACCTGTACAGATAGGTAACATTCACATTTATACTGAACATTTCCAACTGTACAGATAGGTAACACTCACATTTATACTGAACATTTCCACCTGTACAGATAGGTAACACTCACATTTATACTGAACATTTCCACCTGTACAGTAGGTAACACTCACATTTATACTGAACATTTCCACCTGTACAGATAGGTAACATTCACATTTATACTGAACATTTCCACCTGTACAGGTAGGTAACACTCACATTTATACTGAACATTTCCACCTGTACAGATAGGTAACATTCACATTTATACTGAACATTTCCACCTGTACAGATAGGTAACATTCACATTTATACTGAAAATTTCCACCTTTATAGGTAGGTAACACTCACATTTATACTGAAAATTTCCACCTTTACAGGTAGGTAACACTCACATTTATACTGAAAATTTCCACCTGTACAGATAGGTAACATTCACATTTATACTGAACTTGAAAACTAAAAAAGGCACATGTTTCAATATTCCATTAGTTACCTGAAACGTGTAACTGGTAAAACTTGGGAAATTTGAAGGGGACACCTTTTCTCCATGATCATTTAAAATTCCAAACTACCATGACAGAGCTCTAGAGGGGGGGGGGGCATATATATGTTCATGAGAGCATTCTAGCGGGGAGGAAATATGTGCCCATAAAAAAGTTGTAAAGGGGGATATATATATATATATATATGTCCATGATAAGGTTCTAGAGGGGGATATAAATATATGTATATCAAAGAGCTCTATATGGGGACATGTATGTGTTTTGATAGAGCTCTAGAGGGGGACATATATGTGGCCATGACAGAACTTTAGAGAGGGACATATATTTGTCCATGGTAGAGCTCTAAAAGGGACATATCCGTGTCCATGACATAACTCTAGAAGAGGACTATATGTGTCTGTGACAGAGCTCTAGAGGGTATATATATATGCCCTGGGGATATGTGTGTGTCCCTAACAGACCAACATGTATATAGCTATGGTAGAGTTCTAGAAGGGGCATATACGTGTCCATGACATAACTCTAGAGGGGGACATATATGTGTCCCTAACAGACCTACATATATATATATACCTATGTCCATGGCAGTGAAAGCGTAAAATAGATTATAATTTCTTATCGAACATTGCCTTGTTTGATATATAAATGTTCACTTACTTATGTACTATTATTACTTTTTATTTAGGGAAGGAGATGATATTATTCCAGTATCCAACCTTCACGGGAAAATTTATAAAGGTGAAACTTCAAATACTCTGGAATTTGACAAAATTATTTCTCATCCCAAGTTCAACAGTATCACATTGGCGAACGACATTGCTGTGCTGAAACTAAAAACACCTCTTGACCAGCAGAGATCGGTCTGTCTGTCTAAGAATTTTGATGAATCTAAACAGGATGTGACAGCTGTAGTTCTTGGTTGGGGTAAAACGGGACAAGGCAAGTAATATTTTTGAACAACGCTAAGTGAACATTTCATTGTGACGTAAGTTTGCTTGTTATATTTCACACGAAGCTACTCGAGGGATATCTTCTCTTGACGTCCCTAATTTAGAAGCGATAGACTAGAGGAAAGATAGTTTTTCAACGATATCCCCGCCAGCTCTTAAACTGCTCTTTACCAACGAAAAGTGGAGCTGACCGTCAGTTTACAACACCCCACGGCTGAAAGGGTAAGAATGTTCGGTGATAGGATTGGAACCCGTGACCTTTTATGACGCAAGAGCCATATTACGTAGATTGAAACCAGTATTTTACTTATTATATATATATATATAACCCTTTATTAACTAATTCCAATAGTTTAATGTCTGACATAATATGAAAAAACAATCTCAAAATCCAGAGTTTGACAAAAAAATATATAAATAAATAAAAAATTAGCCGAGCCTCGTCAAGATCTGTTATAACCCTTGATAAAAGCACAAAATCAAAACGTCTATAACTGAATGATATTCCAGGAGAAAAGGGTTGTTTTATCCCTCAAACGTTAATAACCTGTTCTATCATAACACACGCATTTATATTCGTAGTTATATTTTTATAACTAGTTGGAATACCCGTCCTTTGTTTGTAACAAAGGATAGAAAATTGTGCTTCTATTTTTTTCTTAACATAATAAACATTAAAAGTGCAATAAAATACATAAAGATACCAATACTTAAAAGAAAGACATACTGTTTTCAAGGATTCTAACAACAGTGGTTACATAGTTCATTCTAATGCTGAGGGATATACAACATTGGTAGTTTCTCGATATGAAACTAGAGGGGTGATCCAACCTCCCATGACCTTCCTCATGTCATCCTGTATCACTGTGTCAAGTATAAGGAACAGATACACAGCTACATTGCCTTTTATTTCTATAATTCGTTTTGGTTACATGAGTCAGTGACTGGGAAGAATAGC